CAAGTAGGCCGAGAGCGCTTCGTCTGGAAACAGAAGCAAACTGCAACTTGGTGGGAAGCACAGCTCAGAACAAGAAACGGAAATAGGTACATAATTAAGAAAAATAATACAAAAATAAGACAAAGGAATAACGAAATAAATGAATGAATAAATTAAGAAACGAATAGATGTGGATATAAACGATGGAAGGAATTGCATGAGACGAACAAAAATGAAGAGACAAATCAAAGAAAAATAAAGGTCTTCACAGTCTGCTGTCTTCACCAGTCGTTATCTGGTAACGGCTTCAACGGGGGACGTTCCCTTTTCTCTGGGTTACCGAACTGTCCCAATGTCTCAGCTACTAGCAACTTCCCATTAAATGTCCTGTTTATAACATCTCGGTGAGGACGGCACAGAAAACACCGTTCCTCTGTTGATGTTTACGGGCCGTTGCCTAATAGTGAACGTTTTCTAGTTGTTTTTGTTTAGCGGTCGTTGTCTAGCAACAGGTCTACATGCTACAATATAATATTACTTGAAATAAGGAAATGAATTAATACAATCACAATCAGTGTAACGGAATACGTCGACATTGAAGAGGCAATACCGTAATCCTGTCGAGAAAATCAAAAGGGAACGGAGACATCACCGACTTCGTGATGCCGGCTTCGTCGGGGGCGCCCCGTTACTTTTTCGGCTGTAGAAATTGTGTTCTGTGGCCTCCTTCAAATTCAGAATCAAGTGCTGAAATTGTCTTGCCAGAAGTTCCGTAAGACTCCTTGGACGAGGGATCTCTGCACACAGCAACACAGTACACACTGTGCCCAGAGTGGGATTCGAACCAGGATCGGTCAAAAGTATTGCTCAGGCTACGCAGCAGTTACGGCGACCAGCGCTGTTAACGTGTACTATGTACAACCCTCAACGGGCGTTACAAAAAACTCCTGGGCCCTGTATTGGGAGACGTATCTGTCCCACCTCAGAAGTACGCACTGCATTATCAACAGGCAATATTAAGGAACGTCGCTCTTGAGGAGAGCCCTTGTGCGTCTTTCGGGGGATATTCTGGCTTCAATCCCAGGTCCGAACACGGCCTACCCTTCCTCGGGTGTACAGTGATTTTCCTGTCACTTCGGGTAAATGTCAGAGTATAGTGCCTCAAGTTAGACTGCAATTGTGTCCTTTAATATCCATTCCAATTCATTATTCACTACTCGTCCTGAAGTGTATGAGCTACTAAATAAATGAATGTCAGTACGAAAAGTAAACATGGCAAGAAGTGTTGTGGTTGCAGTTCGGGTGACGATGGTAGCATGAACTGCTTCCGCGGGCACACAGCGCCATTATGCTTCTCTGGAGAGAAAGGGAACTGTCACTTGTCACTGATTTTAGTACGTCATTTTGATTTTGTGGATGTTTAAACGCCTTTATGAACATTTTCAAATTTCGTTTATTAAAACTGCCACAAATTTTAACGGAGTGGAGGTGTTGGGAATATAATTATGTAAAGTTAAACTTATTTTAACGCTCAAAAATATGTAGAACTCACAGTAACATTTAAGTGAATAAATACACTAGCAGTTCGTTTCTTGGGACTTGAGGAAACAGAAGTTACCTTGCGAGCAGTTGTCTCGCTCCGTGGGGAGGCTGTGAGGCTGCACACTTTGAAGGTTCAGGCTGAAACAAAGACAGGCGGGCCACTTAATTCCGAGAATTTCCTCTCAAAGAGCATTCTGAAGCATGAGATTATACACAAAATGCGAAGAACAAATACGAAGTGACTTCAACTTTACGAAAGGATTCTAGAGCAATCTCGGGTAATAACAAATTCATAGGCAATCCTGACACTCATTCTCCTAGCCCTAGAACTGAGTTAGGGCTTCAGGCATAAAGTGAGGGCCCATAATCATCGCCTCGACACTCACGCCATTTCTGAATGTTGAACCACATTAAAATGAGTTAAAAAGAGTTTCGATCGAAACAGTATCGATTTCTTTTTCGGTCGATATAAACTTTATTCTCGCCAAAATTAATAAACATAAACTTAAAAAATTTTTTGTTTATAAAATTGAGTTCTTGCTTATGGGCTATGTTGAATAAATTTAAAAGACAGTGATAAATGTAAGGTAAACATTCATTCGGAATATTCGTACATTTAATGTCAGCTACAAAAAAAAACACACTGTTGAGTACAGTGCAGCAAGGCACGGTCTAGTAGGTAGGATCTCAGTAAATTTCTTCACGTTTTGGATTTCAAAAATTCAAGACTCAGCATCTCGCATCTGATTGGTTCTCGCGAGGAAATAAATAAAATTATCTCCGAGATTTTTGGTGTCCTCGTGACGTAATGTGTGGGAGCTACCCCTGTCCTTGTACTGAATGGTTTGGCTACTGTCTCGCCGTTTGTTTAACGACACAGCAAAACCTTCAGAGCTGTAAGTAGGAATAATTTAATGGCACACAAATTTTCATTTTTGTTCGATATAATTCATGAAATAAGCTTCTCTTTTCCAAATTTGGTACACCGGTGACGAAAATTGTAACGCGCACATTTTCTTATACACAACTGTGAGTCAGAGCTACTTCTGTAACAGGCCGTGGAGGTCCATTGGGTTATGAGACGACGAGCCCCCCCACTTTCTCTAGACAGTCGGCTAGCAGATAGCGGTAACGTTGTCAGCATTACGCGCAGGCCGGCTGCCCTTTACCCCACAGATTCATGGTACTCATTTCTAGTAGAGGCCGAGTCAACCCCAGGGCCATAGTGCGGCTGGTAGGATTAGGTCACCTGAAAAATCCAATGGCCTCATCGGAAATCGAACCCGCGACCTTCCGGCTTGTAGCACAGTGGCTCAACCAACTATGCTACCGTGTGACGTAATGCAATGTATAACTTGAACAAATTTCCCTTGAAATTTATGAAGAACGCTCTGCATGCCTTTTACTTTAGGCATGGGAAACCCCAAGCAAGGTTTGGACAGTTGAGGGCACCTCATCACAGCCAGGGCACTTCCCCCCTTGCCCGTCTTACTATGCTAAAAGCTAAACAGCAAGACGGGTGCCATAAACCTGTCCACGTTTCAAATTTGGCAGTCTATAGCCCATATTCTGCCTCGAGGAAATACGGCACTGCGACGCATGGAACTCACCTGGACGGCAAGCGGGTCTCACTTGGGTACGAATACTCGTCCTGCACCTCGAGTTCCGGCTCCCCCTCGACGGTGTCGCCACTGGCCAACTGTCGGGGATCGAGAATCTGCTCCAGACGCGTCTGTATCGCGTGCAAGTCCGACGTGCTGTGCCTCAGCGTCTCCCTTCAACGCAACAAGAAACAACTCATTCACTACACGGAGCAAAGTTCTCCAAAAACTAACAATCGGCCAGATGGTCACGTGCCCCGGCTTTCATGGAACCCGAAGGCTCATCCCTGTACTCGAACCCTATTCCGAGACATAGACCTCACACTTGCACCCTCTTTCTTAAGGTTTTACCCCTTCAGTATTTTCCGATCGGTAAAAATTATGACGCTAATCAATTATATCTTCCTTACTACTTCCATTCTTTTCTTCCCTCCCTTGCTTTCATCTTCCCTTCCTCTCCTTCTATCGATATTTTGTTTCATATCCTTCTTTCTTCCGGTCTCTGTTTCTGTTCTTTGTACTTCTTTGGATGGAATACTTCCGGAGAGAAGCGGAAATCCTTTGGAGAGAAGCGAAAATACTTTCGGAGAGAAGCGGAAATCCTTCAATAAAATCCGATTTCGTTCCTAAAACTTTCTGCTTCCTGATTCCTTCGGGGGATTCGAGTTTTAATTACACTATTATAATTGAAGCTATAGTGAACCAACTCTCTGAGACATTTTCACTCCATTTTCCGTCACAAATACCTTAGCTTCAGAAATAAACCCCAGGATGAGGCTTTCAAGAGAGCGCCTGCATATAATGCTCTGGTGTGGCTTGGTAACGTCTCCCGTGTCCAGCCTTTTCTGTCCTCCCTGATTGGCACATTTCCACTGCATCTCCCGAGCTGCTCTAACTGGCTTCCAGCTGCCGAAACACACAATCGATTCCGTACGAAGCATCGGCACGGACCGCATACAAAACACCTCTCCCAACTCAGTATGAGGTTTATCTTGCGGCCGGCGGTCAATCGGCCAGTCTGTCTTGGAATAAAGCACACATCTGGGGCTTAAGATCAGATTTTATTACTATCAGACAGCTGTGGGTTTGTTGATTCGGGGTCCTCTCTCTGAAGACAGAATGAGTCTGTCGTTTACAAATGTTGCTGGCCCTCACCAGCGCAGTCATTCTCAGATCCGAGTCCCGTGGGACTCAAAATTATATTTTACTGCCTCAAATTCGAAACTTTCTTTTCGTCGCCTCCTACGACTCGCAGGGCTACGGTGGAGGTATTCGACCCCGCCTCCACACGGGAGGCCCTTCCCAACAGTTCTATTGTTGCATCATTAGCTGTCATCACAGACCGCGGAGAAAACACTGCTTCCCAGTTACCCCATTGTTGCGTGTTACGAAGCTCTTGCTTAATAGCGGGGGGTGTTTACAGAGCCTTTCCCTAGCAACGGCTATCTCTGCTGGCTTCACAGTTCCTGTCTTGAGCAATTATGCAGTAATGATAATAATAAAATGAAGTTCTGGAAGAAGCAAGAAAGTCGGTTACAGGAAATCACCGAAGAGAGAAACAGATGCATACAGGACACAACCAGGACAATGACAAGTATACACATCATGCGAGCAGTGTGCAACTCTGCAAAATATGACCTACAGAGGTTGGATAACGGAGCAGATTAAAAAGCCGAGCAATGTCATTAACAGAGACGAATGTCAACCAATGGAATTCAGTCCTCATTGTAGATGTTCGGGTCCCTGCAGATGCCAATTTTCCTGCACATGTAAGTGTTCCTGAAGATGTGGGGGTCCCTGCAGATGACAATGTTCCCTCACATATAAGTGTTCCTGTAGATGTTCGGGGTCCCTGCAGATGCCAATTTTCCTGCACATATAAGTGCTCCTGCAGATGCAAGTGTTCCTTCAGATGACAGCAGAACACCCAGCTGAGAGACTGACCGACTTGCAGTGAGGTGAACATTAAATAAAGAACAGTCTCTGAGTAGCCCTGTAGGAACCAGCAGACAAGTGCACTTCACTAATTATGCATGACGCTGCGGCAGCCTCAAACAGCAACATCTCACCGGAAAAAGACTACTATAGCAGGGTTGTCCAACTTGGGCCCGTCAGTTGTTTCTGTTCGACCGGTGAGTACGTCCTTTCCCAGAAAAGTGTTCACGCTTTCCCTGTTTTAAGAAATGAGACTGGCCCGCTCGTCTACTGTGCAACGTTTCCGCGGCCCTACTGGTCTTGACTACTTTCCCTCGTAGTGAGAAATTACTTTTAGCACAAAGTGAAGGGAAGCGGCCATGCTGAAATTTACTGTGAACAAGACAGAGAATTTAAGAACGCTTAGAGAGTGGCTATTTATTCGCCAAAAGTAATGGAGGAATTCAATGTCTTGTGTATCTGAAGGCCGTGTGTTGTCCAGAATAACCCTAACTACACTAAACTGGCTAAGCTAACTGGCTCCTTGGAGCAGAGCCCTGCTTGAGAAGCAGTCAGTCTCTCAGCTGCCCAAGAATTTCCCCGCATTTTATGGAACCCCAAGATTCATTACCGTGTTCCTAGAGCCTTCCACTTGTCCCAATCCTCAGCCCAATTTACTAATATCCATCTTAAGATTATCTTCTCATCAATTTCTATGTCTTCATAGTTGTTTCTTTCTGGATTCACCACCAAAATAGTATATGCACTTCTCTTCACCCCCATGCGTGCTACATGACTTTCCCACTTGATCCTCCTCGACGAGATCATTGTAATTATGCTGGGTGAAGGGTACGAATTATGAAGCTTTCATTTACAAAACACTACACGAAGAGCATAAAGTGTCTGCAGTTGCAACGTAAGCACAACTATGTGACAAGCAGGGATCTTGCCTGCAGTGGCCCGCCTCCAGCTAGCAAAAGGAAACCCAGTGTTCAAAACAATGACCATAAATTATTTAATCAGGTAGGGGCGACGATTCAGGGGTTGAAAGTTGGACAGCCCTGTGCAGTAGGTGGCATGAAGGTAACAGAATTTGTTTGAATTCTGACGAATCCGTCACTTCAAGACGAGAATAAAATTATAATCACCTGAAGAGGGAGTTTGCGGGCTGGAATATATTGTCTGTGTCCTGCAGCATAAGTGACTGAAGTTCCTGCAGGTATCCTGAGTATCGGCTTCCTGATGCAGTCGGGTAGAGGCGCCTGAAGTTTCCTGTATTGAGCATTTCTCGTCGCGACGCGAGAAGTGACGCCAGATCGTCTTCAGTGAGACACAAATCGTGTGAAATAAGGCACTGCAATCCAGTCACCCCTGCAACACACGTCGGTAATTGTGATTCTGGAGGCAGCTCCTCGCGACGCCAACAAACAGGCAACACTGCTGCTTTGGGATTCACCTCATGCCGACGGCACGATGGAACAAATTGGGTATTAGTTTCTTGTAAAATTGCTCCGAAAGGATTTCTGTAAGCCACGGATACCCCAGGGAGTCCAAAATACTGTGTGACAGTGCCAGGCAGTGCTCAAGTTGGGAAGGGACCCCTCGTGCTAAGGAAGCACACGTCGAATCGCTCTGACATTTCCAAACGCGTTTCTAGTTTTCGGAATTTAGGAGTTCTCTCAGGTCAGCAGCTGACTTTCTCTGTTCTGGTTAACTGGGAGGACGGGAATTTGGCGTTCTCTCCCGCATGACTAACCAACCAATCGGCGACCGATCGGTTTGCCCTGGCAAATAAATTCCCAGAAACACTGCCAATCCGAACCTACGTATGAGGCATTACCTCCCATTGCACGCCACCATATCCTGTTTCTTCATAGTGAATTTTGTGCCTATTCGTATATATCGGTAGCACAGTTGGTTGAGGCACTGTGCTACAAGCCGGAAGGTCGCGGGTTCGGTTCCCGATCAGGTTACCGGATTTTTCAATTTACCGCACTATGGCCAGCGGCCCTCAACAGAGTCCGAAAGTTCTCTTGCTCCTAAATCCCACGTGTCTTTTTAAAGTTTGTACTCAACTGTGAACAGGATTTTTATTTTTCTTATTTCTGCCCACATTGTCCGACATCCGGATTAACTGTCTTGTGCTTTCTTCTCACATTCTGTACGTATTCGTGTGTTCCACAGTTCACCTCTGTTCAGGGACAGCAACTGTACTGGTAGAGTGAATTCTTACTGTTAACGTTAGTGAAAGGTAAGGCTATCCCTGTAACTGACCGTGGAGGCCAATAGGGTTGTAAGACGTCGAGGTTTCCACATATTCTAGACAATAGGCTCACAGATGGCGGTGAGGTTGTCAGCCTTACGCGCCGGCAGGCCGCCCTTTTGAAAATATAAAGCTGCTTTCATAACGTCACACACTGTTCCTCCTCCACGTGGAGATGGCTTCACGGTGCTGACACGCACACTGCTACATCTATATAAGTGGGGGGGGCGGAGGCGTAAGTATGCTGCTACTGTTTCCATCCAACCAGCGCCAGTCTCCGAACCAAGCACAGTGGTACAGGCCGGCTTATGGGCTTTGCTGTTGGGCTGACCCACAACTCTTCTTCCTTCCCGGAGGGCTGTGGCAACAGTGGACTCATCACAACTTAACAATGTTCTCAATGGGATGCCGCGCCATAACTCAGGCGGTCATCTGGGATTTGTGGTGGACAAATTGGCGCTGGGGCAGGTTTTCTCCGAGTACTTCGGTTTCCCCTGCCAATCTTCATTCCACCAACTGCTCCACACTCATCACCTATCATCTGGGGCTGGTACAGTAGGCCAGAAGTGGCCGCAGTACAAGGGACTTAGTCCCACCCCACTAGCAATAATAAAAACGTAATAAAATAATACTGGTCTTGACCACGAGACTGGTAACATGACTGCATCAAATTCTCTAGTCACTGTCTAGAACACGAAGGCACAGGAGACAACCATTGCACACAGACAGTGTTCACTCTCAACACAAAATTGTACACACGTGTTGTTAACCTCAAAGCTTATTAATTATATAGCATTAAGTCGGATCTGGTCTAATTTTCAGAGTTTTATACGAATTCCGTCAACATTTCTATATTGCTCACGAATCACCTGATGACGGCCTATCTGAGTCGAAACATGTTGTGAATGGAATATTAATAATAAGGTTTGATTTCATTTCTAGGCGCCACAAACAGGTATCTGGCCGGGGAACAGACTCCGCCGTAGTACATCGGCAATACGACTGGCACGACTGTGAGACGGGTAGTCTCAACTTCAGGCAGTAAAGAGTTTCTGACAGCAGCAAAGATTTCGTCATTACAGGACGTAAGAAAACTGGCTTCTAAATGCGTGTGTGCGCCTGGGTGCCTGTGTGTGGGATTCGAACCCACGATCCCGGCTTCCGAGAGAGCGAAGACAGTGCATGCCTTAGACTGCTCGGCTACCGTGACCGGCGAAATTCCTATCTTTCGACTGAATAATTTCCATTGTAATGCATTTTCAGTGTCCCTATGAATGGCAGGCCCACGTGACTTCAGTAAAACATTCTGTACCCCTTCTTCATTTTCTCTAGCCCAGCAAATTCCAGAAATTTCCCCGCACGTCCCATCTGCATGTACACTCTACTCGCGGCGTTGACTGTAGGTGCAGACTGGTAATCACAGCCTAAGCACAGTACACAGAACTCCTGACGGCGTGACCCCAGGGGTCGGATGGTGGAGTGGCTCCCTATATTCCTAAAGTTTGGTGTTGTACTTTTGTCATGAATTCGATATGTAAAGTTTCAAAAATTTTGATTCATTCAAATACAGATGCTCGCCATGTCTAAGCAACATAATGCCACGGTACAATTTCTGAATACATACAGCAACAGTGGCATTTAGCGCCATTAAAACCAATGCTATGAAACTGCAGTTACACATGTAGAGTCTGACAGCAAGTAGGGTCTTGCACAGAGAGAGGATGTCTGGAACAGTCGCACGTCACAAAATGAACATATCCCACCAGTATTCAGCGATCCGGCAGCCATCTGGAGAGAGTCGAACACACTACGGTGGACGGAGTCTGTGGAGAACAAGAGCCTCAGTACGTCCGAGAAGAGAGCCTGGCGCACATGGTCCTGAGTTCGACTACTTCCGGATCCGGCACCCAAAAAGACAGACTGGGCTGTGTTGTTGAAGGAATCCATCCCTATACTAGGCTGACCACTCACCCCCAACACCACAGGGTAATAGGACGAATTGTACATCAGCTCCACGGCCAGCAACTGGAAACAGTGCTCACACCTGTGAAATAAAACACACTTCGATCGAGTACTGAACCTGAGACTCCTGTTTCAAAGCGACTGACTTTTTTAATTTTCGTGGGGTGGGGTGAGACTTGTGTCCACTTGTTACGCCGGTCACTGATTGGCCTATTTTACTAGCACCGAATGATAGATAAGTATGGATCATTTGGAGGAATGAGAATTGGCAGGGGAAACCGAAGAACTCGGAGAAAACCTCCTCCAGCTCTATTTTGTCCATCACAAATCCCACACGACCTGACCTGAGCTGGAACCCCGGCCGCCGCGGTGGGAAGCAGACGACTAACCGCCTGAGCCATGGCGCGGCCAGACGAGAGCTTACAAGAACACATGTGACATGTCAAAACTTGACAGTGTCCTTGAGCGAGTAGACAAACACAAACTTCATGCAGGGTACAGTACTTGAGGAAACGAGATGCAACCACTGGTTCGCTTGAGTGAAGCAGTCGGAACACAAGACACAAATCCAACGTACAAACATGCAGCATGAAGGGAGCCTTCGGTTTCTGCGTACATAAGTTAGCTATGTAATCACTTGGTTGGCATGATCTGTTTCACTCCAGCAAAGAGGAAAGTAAAAAACGCCTCATCTCTATTTATCTCCTAGAGCACTAACTAACTAACTAACTAACTAACTCCGTATACTAATAGCTTTGACAAGCTGGCGGTTTGTTAGTTGGTGAACAAGTACTAGTATCTTGGCTGCTTTATGGAAGCCGAAAGTTCATTTTCGTCTGCAAAGTTGTCAGCCACTGGGATCTACCCTGAGCCATGGGAATGCTTTTAGCATCCTCAAACAAAATTTTCGAAGAATTCGCCCTCTACGGCTAGGTCTTCCAAGTTGTCTATTCCCTTCAGATTCCCAGACTGCAATTCTGTACTCATTTCTCAGCATGTGGTTGCATTGCTCGCCAATTTCAGTTTTACTGATTTCATCATACTGATGATGATGATGATGATGATGATGATACAGTACAAATTACGAAGTTCCTTACTTCGAAATTTTCGACAGTTCACCAGTTACTTTTCTCTTAAGGATCTAATATTCCCCTTTCCGGACGGCGGGACACCAAGTCTCACATTCATACAGATCATGAGTATTGCAAATTCTGACTTCTAGTTACGGAGGCAGCAGACTGATACATATTAAAAGTAGCAAGCATTCCCAGAATTCAGAATTGTGTGGTGTGTAAGTGGTCAACAAATCCATTCTGCAATCCATACCCCTAACAATTTTGCTACTTCTGCACGGTTCTCCTTGCCCCCCGGAATATGTGCACCTGTTCTGGCTGGGGCGAGATCCCGCGGCGGCCGGAAGGCTCGCAATTTGCACCAGGAG